GGTTGAATATTTTCTTCAAAATGTTCAAAAATGTAAAACAGGCCCGCTAAAAAGTGCAGCTCCCGAGGCTTGAAAAAAAAAAACGGATTTTATGTAACGGTAAATTTTGACGGCCATTTTGTTTTTTTAAAGTTCGAGTATAGTATTCTGCGATAGAAGAAGCAACCCACTGCTTTTCTGCGTCTGTAAAATTTGAAAAATGTATATGGTTCTACTACAGTAAATAGTTGAAAAATGGCATTTTTAGGGTTTTTTTTTTGGGTGGGGGGGGGGGGGGGGGGGGGGGGTATAACTTTTAGAGGGGGAAGATAGGTAAATATTATGTTCTACGAAAATAGTTTCTAGTAAAGATCTATGAACATACAAAATTTCAGATTTCTATCTTCAAGGGTGTAGAAGTTTTGTGAACAGACACACGGACAGACGGACGACAGAGTGAAACTAATAAGCACTTTTGTTCAAAAATTTTTTAGAAAAGTGCTAAAAATGAATTTTTTTGATCATATACATGTAAATATTATTTATTTCAATAACTAAAACAAATATTTATGCAATATGTAGTGTTAACCTTAATTCATAATTTGTAAATTTTATAAGTTTTTAATTTTGGAAAGTAAACATTTGCTTTGTTATACCCTGCACCATCGTGAAGAGTATATTCATTTTGGTATGAAGTCGTCTTCGGTATGGAAGATGTATGCTATACATACATTCAGATTTTTGCTCAGCGTAAAATTCTTGATTTAGCCACTTCCGTGCTTCCGATCGCTAAATTCTGTTGATTTAGCCACTTCCGTGGTTCCGATCGCACGATAACTCAAAAACGAATAACGGTATCGGCACCAAACTTTCACAAGTTGTTTCTTCTATTCAAACGACGGCTGCTATTGTAATTGGACCAACGGGTTTGAGCAGCTGCCATACAAATCAAAGAGATTGCTTTAAATATTTCAAAAATTAATAAAGATATTAATTTCAATTTTTCAAAGTTGTGTCCAATCCCAATCTACATATGTTTAAATGAATGTTCTAATTTTAATGAAATGGCTGCACTGGTTCTGGCAGCTGTCATACAACTCCAAAAACTTATTTTAAATATTTAGAAAAATAATAAAGTTAGATTGATGAAACTTGGCAGTCGTGTGTAAAATTATATGTCACATATTTCCCTGAAGTTTTGGTGTAATGGCTTGACTGGTTTGGGCAGCTGCCGCACAACTCCAAAAGTTAATTTTAAATATTTGGAAAATAATAAAGTCAGATTCATGAACCTTGGCAGTCATGTGTCCAATTTTTGGTCACATTGATCCCTGAAGTTTTGATGGAATGGCTTGACAGGTTTGGGCAGTTGCTGCACAACTCCAAAAAGTAATTTTAAATATTTCAAAAAATAATGAAGTCAGAAACTTCGCAGTCGTGTGTCCAATTATAGGTCAGACATATCCATGCAGTTTTTATAGAACGGTTTGTAAAGTTCGAATACTTAGTACACAATAGTGAGAGCTAATTCTTGATATTCCAAAATAAATTTTAAATTCAGATTACTAAGGTCCTGTATAATTTGGTCGGTTTATACCGACTGAAACGTTTTTATTTGTTTTAAACTAAAATTACACCAGTAGCAGATTTTTTTCTAATTAAAATAATTTTGTGTTTAATAAAATGTACATATGTATGTACATAAGATATTTAGGTAAAATAGACTTTTTTTTTAATATGCTTCCCGTTTTGCTAGAAACCATGAAATTAAGAGAAAGTGGATTGCAATTATTAATAAAATTTTTTAAAAATAGTTTGAAATATTATAAGTGAGAGGGCAATGATAGCCATCAGATGATTTATTGTAAATACAGGAATCCCTCGATATACGTCGGCCCTATATACGTCGTTTTAATATACGTCGGCGAGATTTTTGTTCCTCGTTCTTAATATACGTTGTTTCAGATTTGATATACGTCGTTGAGAATTTTTTTTTTTTTCATAAATTTTGATACATTTTTGCTTAAAATAAAAAATTTTGTTTAAAATTTTATGCATAATGATGAATTTTGGAATTTTGCATAATGTATGTACAAAGTACATAGATATATATTTATATTTTTTTTTTGTTAATTTCGTTTTGTTTATGCTTTAATTTTATGTTTTGTTGCATTTGTTACTATGTTGTATGTATCTAAATAAAAACATACATATTTACATTTTGTGAACTTAAAGACTTATTATTACATAAAAACGAACATATTATATGTATAATTAATTACGAAGGTATGATGTATTAGATGTACGAATTTTTAAATAAATATGCAAACGTACAACTATGTATTTATCAGTATTTTTCTAGTAAAAAAACATACTTTTTCTATATGGGTTTTCGATATACGTTGTTTCGATATACGTCGTGTTTGGCCGGAACCAAAAACGACGTATATCGAGGGATTCCTGTATTGTAAATTTTGATTGTTACTTAAACAAACAAAAAATTTTCAAGAAAAAAATTTAATATGGAAATTAACAGCAAGAACTATTAAAATTTTTTTTAGCCACATATATTTTTTTATTTTAATTTAATTAATCGTACGTTAGATCAGCAGCCAGAATTCATTCAATATACCCGTACGAACGTATGTTCGAAGGGTTACACTAAGATATGATAATGAGATACCGACTCAATTGTATGTTTTCGATCAGCATCGAATTCTGAGTCGATTTAGCTTTGTCTGTTCGTCCACCGGTCCCAACGATAACTCAATAATTAATTGAGCTAAGTTCACCAAATTTTCACTAATTGTTTATTGTAGTAAATGTCAGAACCCGATTTAAATTGGTTATGATTAGGGTACTGGTTTGAGTTGCTGCTATACAACTTCAAAATTTATTTGTCTAAAAAATAAAAGTCGTTGAAATTGCTTGGCTTCTTCTGGTAGCTTTCATTCAACTTCAAAAGTTATTTGGCTGTATATCAAAAACTATTAAAGTTGTGATATTGAAATTTCACACAAGCGAATATATTAGTAGTTCCAATATGTTTGATAAAACTCGTTGAAAGTGTTTGGCTCTTTCTAGTAGCTGCCATACAACTTCAATAGTAGTTTGGCTATATCTTAGAAAATATTGAAAACACAGTACTGAAATTTTGCATAAATTAATATGGCAATATTGCAACTAAAGGTGATAGTGTGTCCCATAGTCAGCTATGACATATTAATTCGCTAGGATTTCATAGAATAACAAATTCGTACGGGTATCACATCTTGACACGGTCAACTCTATTTTTTATCGTTTTACTTTACTTTTAAAGTCAATATTCCAAACATACTTATATAAGAGATTATATAAGAGATTTAACAAAATGTGTTCATTTTTAAGTTAAGTAAGATATTGTGACATTAAAATACTTATAAATAATTTCAACTTATAAATTAAATTTATTCAAGGAGAAAAAATTTAATGAGTTTTCTTTAAATTCGATTTTTTTTTACAGATATTTCAAATAAGAACATATTTTAAAATAATTTTCACTTCTCAATTTAAAAAAAAATTTTCAACTTATCTTTCCTGCAAATGATTCATAGTAGTGGTGAAATAAAAAAATATAATATATACCCTTTTCTTACAACTTTGACAATTCTTGGAACAACTAAACTAAAAAATCTGACGTGATCAGCATATAATCGGCCGCAACATATATTGCCTAGGTTTAGTAAAAGTATTCCAGAGTATTATGGAAAAATATGAAAAGTTGGTCAGTAACTTCTGCTAATAACCAGAGCTCAAATATCAAATTTTAAGAAATTCCATCAATTTTACCGTATATATGGTAAAAAATTTAAAATTGGCCCCCAGATCAATTTCCGTGCTCTGATCATTCCAAAAAATTTATAGATTCATTGTTTTAACAGCTCGAATTCAAATAATGAATTTCAATGATTACTTTTTATTATATACGCAAAAATGTATATTTGTCCCGTAGTAAACGTCCAGTTGTTGACACCTGATTTCTTCCAAAGCTTAGGAGATTTCGCGGACTGATTGGTGAAGCTTATATATGAAATTTCAAGTAAACCTGTTGAATATTTTCTTCAAAATAATCAAAAATGTGAAACAGACCCGCTAAAAAGTGCAGTTCCCGAGGTCTGATATATGCCAAAAGTTGATCAATCCGTGACATAGTCGAAAAAAACTTAGACATAAAATTTCATCAAAATCAGTCGAACTTGAGATACACGCGTACACACACAGAACGATAGACAAACACCTCTTTGAAAATCGTTTACTTATGCTTCCTTACAATGGAGTAGTGCGTTTCCACCAAAAACTTGATATCCAAAACTTGTTAGAATCACATAATCTATCTTATTGTTTTATACAATGCGGTCGGTAAAAAACATCCTTTAACATTTCTCGTTCGTCGGTTGGAATAAGACTGAAGGCGCAGTGGTTGTATCGTTATATTGTCATAACAGTATATTATTTTATTTTCCTTTAGTGATAAAAACCAAACGTATGGGGTTATAAAAAAGCGCTTGGCTTCTGTGGTATGGCGCAGTTTATTGACGCGGCGTTATAAAAGTGTGATTGATGTTGATAAGACATCAAAAACTTATAAAATAGTGTTTAAGTTCCAAGTTGGCAATTGGAAGCCGGAATTGGACGCGGTTGGTTTGCAATATAAATACACAAAACATTTTGATATTCAATTAATATACAAATCAACGAATATAATTATGTTAGCCAGAGAAAAATATCATTTTATACTGATTTTACTTGCATTTATTCTTTACTTTTATATTTTATTTAGTATCTGGAAATATTTCATCTTAATCTAGCATTTAACGTGCTGTTGTTCTCTTGTGTCGCTATGTTGAAATTACAATTGTGTAATTTCAGTGTAATTTTAGTACTAAAATAAATATTCTTCTACTACAAAAAATCTATTTTTTTCACATTCAAAGGTAGATACATTTTTAATTTGTGACTTCATACTTTTTATATAGGCCACTATAAATGTGGAAGTATTTGTATTTCTTCTTTCTGTATTTAATATTAGTAGAATTATACGTTTTGTGAGCCTTGAATTCAATAAGACCAACTAGTTGAGAGTGTGTTAACATAGAGTCGAGCAGAAGAATTTTTCTGATAATTTGTGCAATTAATTTTTTTTTATAGTAAGGTAAAGTGATTAAAAGCCCTGAAAAATATGTAAAATTTTTGTAATATAGTTTAAAATCAAATTTGTGTAGAATATTTTAGTAGAATTTTCTAAAATGCTTATGAAAATTTTACATGACATGTAACTACATGTATATACACACATATATATATATGTACGTATATATAAGTATTTATAGTGCCCATGCGTAACCATTAAAATATATCTATATTATGTATATATATAATCTATATTATATATATATATATAATATAAATAATTATACATCCATATATACATGTGTATATTTGCATATATGTATATAAATGTACATAATATGTGTATATGTACAAATTATACGCAAGTGTATAAATATATCTACAAGCTTGTAGATTAATTCATACTTACGTATTTTGGGTTTATATACATATATTAATTCAAGGAGTATGTATGTATTTAAAAATAAAGCTTATGTGTAATGTATATTAATCAAATTTATACTTATTTAATATTAATAATAAAATCCTAATATTTATTTATTTCTTTATATATATAATATATATATATGTAACGTATATATAAATAATATATATGTCAATATGAATGTGTAATTGTGTATAAGTATGTACGTATATATATGTATATACATATATACCATTGTATATTACATGATTTTGCACAAAGGAAAAATGTATCGCATATTTTTAAAAGCAGTTGTATGTTTGTACATGGCTACATTTAAATTTGGGAATGAGTTATGATCTAAGATAGGCGCTATAAATGAATATAAAGTTAGCTAAAATTACCATACGTGTATGTGTTTGTTTGAAATGCCTTCAATATTCCACATACATTACCGTATTCAATACATACTTACAAAGTATAAGGTGCAACATGCGCATTAAAGAAATTGTGTGAAGATTTAAGTTGATACATACACATATGTGTGCATAAGTTTAAATGAGTGTTTTATTAAAAAAAAATCTAAAACATTTAGAAATTCTAACGTGAAAACTTAAACTGTTAACATTACTTCTAATGTGAAAACAGTCGTTATAATAGAACGATGTGGCGTGAACTAATTGACAAACCAAATTAATGAATATAAGACAATCCTATATTAATTAATTAAAAAAAAAAAGTTTCTATGCTAATTATAAAGATTCAAGGTGTTTTTATTATAAAGATTACATACATATGTGTATACGTATGTATATGCTTTTGAAATAAATTATGTATTTTCTCAATAAAATGCTGAATTGACGAAAAAAATTGATTTCAGATACAATATAGGAGAAGCTTGCCTTTTAACCATGTCCCTTGCAATATATTTTGGTGGGTGAATGGCCACAATTTTTTGTACATTATACCTATGTGTGGGTAAAATATTCTATGCGCATGGTCTATAATGAATAATTTGATCGAAATGTTTGTCGGTTGATGGTGCTGAAAAAATTTTAAATACATAAGTTTATGACGCATTAATTAAATTTCGCTGATTTCGCGAAAAATTAAATTTGGAAATTCAAAATTTATCTAAAAGTTTTTCACATACCTCATATGTATGTATGTACGGATAAGTATATACTGTAATGTTTATCCGACATAAGCATGTATACATATGTATATTCTTATAAATGTACATATAATATAAGAATGTAGTATGAACATAAAAGATAAGTATGTATTTATTTTTTTCTAAGAAACTTAGTCATTAAGGTTGCCATCCCACAGGTGAGGGAACACATTAAAAAAATTCGCGGGAAGAAATTTAAAAAATTTTGAAACATAAATATGTATGCAAACTTGTTTCCGTCAGACATGTTTATAAAAAAGTAACGCATTTGAGAATGGGAATTAGAAAATTGTTACGTTAAATAAACAAATTTATACTAATATACATATGTATGCATACATGCCACTAATTTGTTGAAATCAAAGTATATCTATCTAAGAACTTGTTCGGCTCGCTCCTTTCCATTAGCTTTGGTTTGCTTGCCACTTCTAATTTCTCAAAATATTAAATTTTTATTTAAAAATAAATCCTAATAAGAGTTGTGTAGGCAAGAAAAAAAACAAAATATTGTAAAAGGAGTGTATAGAAACATCGAACTGGAATAAAATTAATTTTGGTAAAATTTTGTTATTTTTATTCAAAAACAAAACAAAATTCTTTTTTTAGCTTAATTAAATTTATTTTACATATTTTATTTTTCATTTCATAAAAGTAAAAAATTCTAATGTATGAAAGCAATAGATACGAGTTTAAAATTTCATGTACCGTGCATCAGGTAGTGATATACATAGAAATAAAGCAATTTATAAAGAAAAGAATATGTATTCATACTGATTCCTACTTTATGAAATATTATTGTTCCCGATAGGTTTATAAATGGAAAGATTGATACGATATGTGTATTTAAAATTTTTAAAGGCAAGATTTCAATCTTCAAAAACAAAAAGTTCATAACATATTATATCAATAAATATTTTAGTAATTGTAAATACCTATGTAATTAGTAATTTGACAATTACTAATTACATATTTACATTTTTTTTTAATATTATCTTTTTGAAATTTTTTTAATTATTTTTAAAAACTTTTTTTATTTTAACAATTTTGTATAATATGGATACACAATTTTTTTCCATCTTGTAGTGGAATAAATTACGAAAATGCTCTTGTACGCCTTTAAAAATACATTGTAAAAAAAACATTCCTATGTTTAAAAAAGTGAATATAATAAACATTATTATGATACTGCTTATGATACCTTTTTTTAGCCAAGGCAATTTTATAATTATTAGTGAGTGATTTCATTAGTGTGGTGTAAACGGAGAGTCGAATTACTTCTTGAGTAGATGTGCTTTGGTTGAAATGGTGTGTAATGTGTACTTTCATATACGCATATATCTGCATCACGCCTGACAGAAATACAACCGGGACTCTAAGAGAGAGAGACCCTTTGGAGGGCCCTTTTTAACATCATAAATCTCCCACAAGATCAACTTTTTTCAAATTTTTAATTAAAAAAGTTAAAATTCAATCTTTTTCTATTTTACTAGCGCTTACATTCTCAAAGTTTTGTGTTATTTAAACATTAAAAAACTGACTTAAAAAAACCTTCCTGGCTCCGCTCATCTCTTTGAGATTTCAATTAATGCTACACTACAGGAAAAAAAGAAATAGTACAATTTTTTTTCGAAGTATATAGTTGATTTTGGTGTATCTTTTCAAATTGGAGAAAATATACATTTGATATTAACGAGCTCGCTAATTTTGTATGATATATCTCCCATGCATTTTGGGATGTAATCACATATACATATGTATATCCTCATATTCTTCATGTGTATACTATATTAAATGTATATGCTTCATAATTCATAAAAATTACTGCATATGTGAATTCTTTTTATATTAAAACCCCATATAATTTTTCTAGGTGCGTATGTGATTATAGTTTGATTAGGAATTATTTTCACTTTGCTAGTAAGTCTAATTTGATAATTTACCTAAACTACTGCATCAGAAATTTTAGAACAAACTTAAATTAAAATTTTTAAATTTCTAGACTAAAAAATATAATACCATCTTTTTTCTTTATTCACTGTATTATCTTTTTTACCGACCGTATTGTGTATACAATAAGTAGGTTGTGATGGCAACAAATTTTGCATATCGAGTTTTCGGTGGGAATGCACTTCTCCATAGTAGGGAAGTGTAAGTAAACTATTTTTAGCAACCTGTCGGTTCGTCGGTCTGTCGGTATGTGTGTGTACGCGTGTATCTCAAGTTCGGCTGAACCGATTTTGATGAAATTTTATATGTAAGTTTATTTAGACCATGGCACGGATTGATCAACTTTTGGGATATATCAGGCCTCGGGAACTGCACTTTTTAGCGGACCTGTTTTACATTTTTGACCATTTTAAAGAATATATTCAACCGATTTGCTTGAACTTTCATATATAAGCTTTGCTCGACCTTTCCTAACTTTTGGAAGAAATCAGGCCTCAGCAACTGGACGTTTACTACGGGCCAAATATACATTTTTGCGTATATAAAGAGAAATAATCAACCGATTTTATTGAAATTTAATATTTAAATTCTTCATATTAAAACAATGAACATATAAATTTTTTGGAAAGATCAGCGTTTGAAAACTGATCTGCGGGCCGATTTTACATTTTTCACCATATCTACGGAACGAATTGATAGAATTTCTTGAAATTTGATATTTGAGTTCTGGTTGTTCTGATAACTAACTGGCGAGCATTTCAGGGAATTCGAGTAACACAGAGCGAAATTCTAGTAAGAGCCAAATATACATTTTTCTAGGTATGTTAACTATAAGCCTACTAATGTCCTAAAAATTGGAAATAAGTATTTAACAGACATTTTTATAATATTCTGTAACATTTTCACTTAACTAGACAATACACATTGCGGTTGGTTATGTGCTAACCACATCAGATTTTTTACTCTAATTTTTTTAAAATAAGAATATCCATGTATGAACTTCATAACTACAAACATATATAAGTTAATTTGCTTAAAAACGAAATATCTTACTTTTATTATTACTTGAATTTAGAGTTCCCGTTCGGAAATTTTAAAAAGTGCAGTAAAAAGTGGAATTTTAAAAAAAAAAAAGTTTCAAAATTTTACTTTTGCAATAAATTAGTGAAATTAAGCCGGATATGAATTAAGTGAAATCAATTAATATTTTATAAAATTATTATTTTATTTATAAAATATTAATATTTTTTTTATTTTCATTGTTTGCAAAAAAAATAATGCATTTATTTTTAGAAAAACTTTTATTTTCAAAATATTATTTAAAGGTTGTCACCCACTTTCTGTTAGACGTATGACGAGACAGGATATTCTTCAAAATTTTTGTTGTTTTCAGTACAGAATGTCAAATTTTCTTTATTTTTGAAAATTTACTTTATTTTTTTCAAAAATATAATTTTGCTTTGAAAACTTAAAGACTTTTGAGAAGCATCCTATCTTG